TCTTTGGTATGAAGTAAGCATGAGTATCATAAAATCTCCAAAAAAAAGGTATACATCTAAGATAATTTTTGACTACTTTATCTTACAGAAAAGTCAGACTTTCATAAGAAATATGTGTACTTTATATAAACTTTCAACTACTAAGTTGTATGTGTGCAAGTTTTTTTACATGTTACATGGCTGATAGCCTACAAGAGCAATTGAAACTGTGTGTCAATTCCTACAAATGGAACTGTAATGGACAAAATATAGTTGTTTGTTAATTGGAAAACATGAAGCTCAGTAAGTGAATCATCAGTCTCAAAACACAAGTGTGAGAGACCAAGAATTCTGGGTCCAAGTCCCATTCATGATAAAATAAATGACTAAAGTATAATGTGAGATGAGGATAATATGTGCCATGTTGGTTAATTATAGTGTCGAGTAATATAGAAGATTCATTTGGACAAATTTTAGCTAAAAATCCTTCTTGAAATTAATGGGAGAAAAAATTAATGCTTTAAATGAAAAGCTGTTTACTTGCCACTTTGGCAGATGAGGAAGTAAAGCATCAGACTCAAGAAAGTATTGTAAGCAGGGAAGGAGGATCCCATGTTCAAGATCCAGGCAAGGCAGATTTTGAAGTTTTCACCAATATCAGATTGTTAGAGTATGTTAACATTCCATACCTTACACAACATATCAATACATAAATATTGCTTTTGACATAAAACATTATTATTTACACAGCAAGTAATGGTTTGATTGTTCATCAAAAGCTTTTGTTAGGCTTAGACTTGCAGTCCTTTAATCTATTAATACACTCCAAGTGATGCATGGTTGAATGATGTTTATCACTGTCAAATTAATATATCACAGGGATGTGTAATTTTTGAAAAAATAAAATAAAATAAAATTTTTTATCCAATGATCAAAACCCCAGAAAAATGTATTTATTTTCTTATTCTAAGTCCCCTCCCCCCAACTGTCCCACAGAATACAGAAATTGAATATAACTTTTAGGATTTTGCTTTATTAAACAATAG